CCCCCCCCCCCCCCCTAAACATTATTGCATGATCTACTCAGTTTGCAGCGATATTAGCTGACAACACATGTATGAATCAGAGAGGGGCACTCCGGTTTAAAAAAAAAAAGATTCAATCTTATGAAGTATAATTTTTCCTTACTCACAAATTAACAAACAAAAATGATTTGGTTGAATTTCAAATTTAAAAAAAAATCCATTGAATAGCTAAGGTTGTTACATTAGTTGCCCTTTCATTTCATTACTTAAAGATAATATTAACAAAGTTATGTTCTAAAATGCGAAAGACAATTCTAAACACATTTTCAAAACCTATCTTACTAAGATTCTTAGTATATAGTTTTAAAGACGTCAGGTCTAGATGGTAAGATGTTTGAAAATGCCTTGTGATGTCATCATTGAATTAGGTTTAACCGGTGCAAGGCGAAGCGCGTCTAAACATAAATCATTCTTGATCTCAGGAACAGCGTTTTCCATAATTGTCACATGTTTCCCGCTATATGCTGTTATCATCAGGTTTGGTAAGCCGGTTTCATGGAAGTGCTCCCTGGTGATTGGAAAGTAGTCATAATTTAAATTATTTCTAAAAATGTTAAGGTTTATCTTGTTAGGATTCAATCGAGCTGTGCTTTGCTTTTCTCATCAATAATTCTTTATCTATATATATATATATAAACTTAATCAAAGTTACCCTTCCAAAGGAATAGCTTTTGAATTTATGAACTAGCAATCAGTGTTTCTTTCAGGCATATCTCCGGAGTGGGGGCCTCAATTATAATTTTTCAAGTAAAGTGTATAAATATAATCTTTTCTGGGAAAAGAACACCAAAATTCAGGCTTTGCCCTGGGCGCAACTTTTATTAGAAATTAAATACCAATGAAAAAGCAGTCTACAAAATAGTGCAAATTATCTGTATCAAATCATGATGGCAATAGTAAAAGTTCATAATCCTGTTCGTTCATACGCTGACCCCCTTAGTTTTGGCCAGGCGAAAACCTGAAATGTGCGAGACACGGTCATAAGCCGACCTCATAAAATAATATGCCGTATAGGCAATACTATAGGCAACTTAAGAAAATATTTTGTTTAAAAAAAAACTTTAAAAAATAATTATTGTGTAAGTTAAAAGTAAAAGTCTTAAAAACGTATAAACAAACAATATTAATAATATTAGTACAACTACTATAACACAGATGCTCGGTTCCCATGCACCATATTATTTTATTGTTCATCCTTCGTGTGCCAAGATGACCAAGGCTTTGTCTTGAGTAGTACCCTTGACTTGAGCTGTACTTTGTTAAAAGTGAGGGAGAGTTGCTTAATTCGTTAGTCTCACTCTCTCATCCTCGCCTATTTGAACTAATGGCAAGATTTAGTCAAGACGACTGGACACAGACCTGGATGCAGTAGATGACCAGAAGTGTCTCTTGTACCTCACTGTGACCTTATGCGTTCCACATTGCCGGAGTTGTCGGAATACCGCCATTTACAGTAATCATACTAAACATTTCAAACAAAAGAAACTTCTGCTACCGGTATCTACAATAAAATTTTTTTAATTCAGTGTAGTTACTTCAATGTACCGGTAATCTAAATTTAGCCAATCATTGCAATTACAAATTGATTACAAAACATGTGACCCCATTTTGTACACAGCATTATGTTGCCTTCTGTTAATTACTATTTTCTTCATTGTTTTCTGCAGTGGGTGATAGAAAGTATGGTACCAGGAGAGAAACTTATTCCCCTGAAATATTCACAAAAAAGCCTGCTTATGAATGAGTATATACAGTATGTATACTAAATTATAGTATGACAAACTTAAGAGGTGGCTTACTTGCTCTTGAATCTTGGTTGCAGTCTTGAAGCATCAATTGAAATTTCTTGTTTTTCTTTGGCAGACTAATTAAACAAAGAGAAATGCAACTAGTTTTAATAAAGTATATAATTCTTAATTTAATCTTACTGCTGAACAGATGCATCACAAGGGTTGGTGTCACCTGGTGCACAGTTAACTCATTGTGTCCTCTGGTGCACAGTTAACTCGTTGTGTCACAACACACATCGATAATTTATAGAATAATTTAAGCCCCTATTTTAAAATCCTGCAGGTCTTAATCCGGCACTGCTTCTACCTTGGCCAAGAGTTAAGCCTTTAGTCTGCAGGTTCATTTGAGTAATATTAACATAATAAAATATCAGCCCAAAATTAAAGGTAGCAGAGAAACGTGAAATCACAGACAGGATGCAAAAGATATGAAAGACATATTTAATAAAATTACAGGTGAAAAGATTATTGATGGATTTGAAAAAACTCTTATATTCTAGCCAGTTTTGAACTATTACTGTCAAAGTTTGTATTATTTATGCCCAGTATGCACTGTTACAGGTGATGCCCAGACATAGCATTATGGTAAATACAAAATACACTGCTGTAAATATAATAAAATAAAAACAGTAAATTTTTTCTTGCAATAACGCATGAAGGCCTGAGAGCTCTGGGCACAATCTAAATTGGTGACCATGGTTAAATTTGCGTTTTTGATAGGTTAAAACTGTTTATTAATATAGATAAGCATGGGCCGGAGACCCTTGAGCGTTGGGCAAAAGATTGAACATATGCAACAAAGGCATTTATAATTACCATACAAACAATACAGAGACGTGAAATAGCCATTCAAATTTTGCAGTTACCTGGTAATTTAAAACAATGGTATATAATGAGCATTGATGTTTCGGGTGTCACAAACTAAAGCTACGTTACTGATCTTATTGGAAAACACAGATGAAGATCTTGTGGCAGCATATTCTTGTGTTCTGGTGCCACTATGTTCTGGTGGCACCGTGTTCTGTTTATGGCACTGTGTTCTGGTGCCACTGTGTTCTGATAACACTGTGTTCTGGTGGCACTGTGTTCTGTTTATGGCACTGTGTTCTGGTGCCACTGTGTTCTGGTGGCACCATGTTCTGTTATGGCAGGGGTTCTCAACTTTTCTAATGTCGCGACCCTTTAACACAGTGCCTCATGTTGTGGCGACCCTTAACCAAATTTTTTTTTCATCGTTGCTCCTTCATAACTGTTGGGTAATGTGTTTTCCGATGTTCTTAGGCGACCCCTCTGAAAGGGTCATTCGACCCTCAATGGGGTCGTGACCCACAGGTTGAGAACCACTGTGTTATGGCAATGTGTTCTGGTGGCACTGTGTTCTGTTTATGGCACTGTGTTTTGCTGGCACCGTGTTCTGTTTATGGCACTGTGTTCTGGTGGCACCATGCTCTGTTATGGCACTGTGTTCTGGTGCCACCCTGCTTATGTATTTAACTTAGATATGTGATGAAACCAATCCCAGCAAGCTCTGTCTAATTTTTCATTGGGTGTTATCACCCTGGGAGAGCGTCATGTGGTGCCCCCCTCCCACCTATTGCTGAAGACTAATCTTCATACATTTAAACGCTTTAAATCTCTTAAAATTTAGTGATTTTTAAACTAATTCACTCATTTTAACAAGGATGACTTAACAAAATCACTGTGGAATGTTTTACATCCCAACAAGATATTGTCTGAAAACATTGTTTGAAGCATTGCTGTTGTGTATAGCTTTAATATAGAGACAATTTATTTCTATTAAGCAGTTGGCCACTTTAAAAAATATGTAGTATCAATGTTTAGTTAAAAAGAATAAAGAGAAATAGGCTGCTTTTCTGCTATCTAGCATAAGTAAGTAAGATGTACCTTCAAATGTTTGAAATTGGAGGTCCTTGCCACAAAGTCTGTGAAGTCAGCAATAGCCTTTTCTTTCTGCCTGTGATTCTCTCTCATCTGGAAGTGCCGGTTAAATAATTATTTTCAGAAAGTGTATTTCAATTTCAGAAAGCCTTTATAGTTATAATTTTTATCTGTGTGCAGTGGTTACTGATTTCTAAACATGTATCCATAAAGATACTGCGCTCTTCAACACAGTCCTTACTGTCCAGGGTGGATGGACGCAGAAAGAAGTCATAAGGAGTGAGCTCTTTTGAAGCTATTGTGCCTAAATTGTGGAACAGTTTGCCTCCATCTTTGAGGGACATTGAAAATGATTAAAAGTCAATTAAGAACCATTTAAAGATATTTAAAAAAAAATAGATTGTAGGACATCAGAGCACTGTGAGCATGCTAAAATAGCATGGACACAAGCGCTATATAAGTACTCAATCATCATCATCATTATCACCCTGGGTGGGGAGAGAATTTTGCTGTCTCCTACCATGACAAAAACTCTGCAGTTTGTCGAAAATGCCACTCTCTATTTATATAGAAAAAAGCGCCGCCCAGGATGGCACCCTTTTCCTTGCCACTGTGTGTGTGCATCTTTCCCTCTCTAAGAGACAATTGTGTAATAGTGCTGAGACTATGTAGCAAAGCTACAAAACCTGGGTAAGGTTCTTTTTAAATGGAGAATACAAATAAATTGTTTGAATTTTCAGAAAATTATTGAGTTCAATAGCAGTCCTCCTGTGGGACTCCATCTCCCATTTCTCTGTCTGAATTTTAATCCCATAGCCTGAACCATTAAATTGATGAGTTCCATCTATCCAACTGCTTGGATTTGTGTTTATTTTATTGTATTGCTTGTGCTTAAACACACCCAACAAGTCACCTGCTGGTTCATTTGCTGTGATAATTAATTTAATACTAATTTCCAGATAAATCTGATTAATAATCATTTTTTTTCCTTCATGTTTAAAAAAAAAATGATGGTCATATAATTATCACACATTAATATAAAAATATTTGCCTCGGCATAAAACTCTTGCTCATCCAGCACATCTTGATTCTTCTGTGCTTCAATGAGTTCCTGTTGAGTTGATGCTACTATAACAGCCCTTTCCTCAATGGCTCGGGAGATGGCTTCAATAGCTTCCCTATCAGGGGTTACAGGTCGTACATTTTCTGTTTGCAGTTCTCCAATAATCTCAGACCATACTTCACCCATTTTGAAGTCCAGGTATTTCTCTGAATAAATTTCATTGTAAAATAAAAAAACCCAATGGAACAGAACTTTTTGGTAATATGAATTTAAAAAATTTGTAAACCTAAAAATAGTAATTAATTAATTTTTTTCACTAAAAAATGTCTTTTTAAATTAAGAAATTTTTTCCTTTACCGGTACCGGTACCTTTTAATTTGCTTATACTTATAGTGTTTCAATGAGCTATATAAATGTACCGTAACAGAAAAATGATAATACCAATGATGGTAAGTGTCACATGATCATCTACTGTAAGTCCTGGCAGGTCACTGAACCCCATCTTACAAAACAAGGAATAAACTTTAGCTCTCATGTTTTCTCCAACATCTGCAATGGCTTGACTGACACATGTGGCAGGCAATGGAATGATGCCCAAATCTGCTTGGATGCTACCCATCAGTGGTTGACAAACGTCTATAAAATATATTTAATGTAATTGCAAGGTAAATTTGAACAATTTTTAGTACTTATCTTTATATTTTTTTTAAAAGTTTTAAAATATAGTTTTTCATCCACTTCACATTAATTAATAATATACCATCATTAGTTTAAATAAATCTAAACTTCTTGATTGTCCAAAGCTTGTAGTTTTCGTACTATGGGATCTTCCTCGTTAAAATTATTACAATATTCTTAGCATTTAGTGCAGATGTGGATAACTTTGAAGAGTGCAGAATCAGCAAGGATTATTATGTTCCAGTATTTTGTTTGTTTGTCTGTGTTAGGATTAACTGCTCAGAGCCTCCTCTCCATTACCTTGGACAATCAAGAGTATATGCACATCTTAAGTTAATTAGCCAACTGCCACATCATGACTGTTTTCTGGTGCAAGTTAAGATAACTAGCAAAAGTCAAATGCCTAAGTGCTACAATATCGGCATCCTTCCGTCTCGTGAGACGATGGTGCATCACCGTTTGGTTGGGTTGCATTTTCTCGAGTGGCTGTGCAGTCCTATCCTTGAGTGACAGTCTTTACCACATTTTTTACACACGAGTTCCGTGCTTCTAAATGTTTTGGCCTTTCTTCTAGCTCTTCTGTCTGCAGCCTCTTCCATTCTTCGCTCCTCGGCTACCATGACGCCCTCTTTGACAACTGTGCGCCACATAGATCGGTCTTTTGCCTTACACTCCCAGTCACTTGTATGTATTTTGGCTGCTTTCATGTCCCTTTGACAGACATCTTTAAATCGCAGACGTGGGCGACCTGTTTTCCTCTTTCCCGAAGCAAGTTCACCATATAGGAGGTCTTTCGGAATGCGGCCGGGACTCATTCTTTTAACATGACCTAGCCACCTCAGGCGTCTTTCACTAAGGATTGTGAACATGCTTTGGGTATTCGCACGCATTAGGACCTCACTATTAGTCACTTTTTCTTGCCATTTAATACCAAGGATGCGACGCAGGCATCTCATATGGAAGCTATTAAGCTTGCGTTCTTGGGATGTATAGGTGGTCCATGTCTCGCTCCCGTATAGTAGTGTACTGATGACACAAGCTCGATAGACGCACAGTTTGGTTTTCTCCGTTAGCTTGGTGTTTTGCCAGACCCGTTTATTTAGTTTAGCCATTGTGGCAGCTGCCTTGCCGATTCTGCTGTTAATTTCTTCTTCAATGGACAGTGTATTGGAGACCTTGGACCCCAAGTAGGTGAAGCTGTCCACAACCTCCAAGTTTTCATTATCGATTTTTATGTTAGGTGGAGGTCGAGTGTCTTGGGCCATGATGTTTGTCTTTTTCAAGCTGATTTGCAGACCAAATTCTTTGCAGGCATTGGAGAAGCTTGACACGAGTTGTTGCAAACCAATTTCTGTGTGTGCTGTTAGTGCCGCATCATCCGCAAATAGTAGCTCGCGAATTAGGACATCTGTCGTTTTGGTCTTGGCTCGGAGGCGGGCAGTGTTGAAAAGTCCTCCATCAGCTCTGGTGTGTAACCAGATTCCCTCACTGCTATCCTTGAATGCGTATCGAAGTAGTACAGAGAAGAATATTGCGAACAGTGTTGGTGCGAGTACACAACCTTGTTTAACTCCGCTGCTGACTGGAAAGGCTTCTGACTTGGCTCCATCGAACTGCACTGTACCCTGCATATTTTCATGGAACTCTCTGATGATGGCAAGTAGGTGAGGGGGACAGCCGATTTTTGCCAGTATTTTGAATAGCCCGTTGCGACTGACGTAATCAAAGGCTTTTGTAAGGTCCACAAAGGCAATGTACAGTGGCATCTGCTGCTCTCTGCATTTTTCCTGGAGCTGTCGTATGGAGAACACCATGTCTATGGTAGACCGGCCAGACCGGAAACCGCACTGAGATTCTGGATAGACATGAGATGCTAGACTCTGTAAACGTGTTAGTATGACACGAGCAAAGGCCTTTCCTACAATACTAAGGAGTGAAATGCCGCGATAATTATTGCAATCACTCCTATCACCTTTGTTTTTATATAGTGTCACTATATTTGCATCCTTTAGGTCTTGGGGGATGTAGCCCTGTTCCCAGCAGAGGGACAGAATCTCGTGCAATGGTTGGAGTAAAGCTATCTTACCACTCTTTAGAGCCTCTGGTGGTATCCCATCATCCCCAGGCGCTTTTCCACAAGCTAGGCTATCAATAGCTTTGCTCAGCTCTTCCTGTGAGGGCACGACATCGAGTTCTTCCATGAGTGGCATATCTGGTATGTCATCTAGAGCGGTGCTGGAGACTGTGGTAACTGTTGAATACAATTCCAGATAATGCTCAACCCACCGTTTTAGCTGTGCTGCCCGGTCTTGGATAATTTCTCCATTTTTGGACTTTAGAGGAGCAACTTTGGACGTCAAGGGGCCAGTTGCCTTTTTGATGTTTTCGTACATTGCTTTTGTATGGCCCATATCTGCAGCTGACTGTATGCTGGAACAGAGGTTAAGCCAGTAGGTATTGGCGCAATTACGTGCAACCTTTTGGGCAAGTGACTTGGCTGTTTTTAAGGCATGCAACCTGTCGGGTGTAGGCTTTTCCTTGTAAGCCGTAAGAGCTTTCCTTTTGGCTTCAGTGACAGGTTTCATCTCGTCCCAATGTTCATCAAACCAGTCCGTGTTTTTGTGAGATTTTTTGCCAAAGGCCTGTATTGCGGATGTATAGATTGTGCCTCTGAGATGCGTCCATTTCGAGTCAATGGTGACGCATGGGGACATCCTTGAGATACCTTCCTTCACCTTGTCTGTGAACAGCTGCGTTAGCGCAGGGTCTTTCATGCTGAAGGTATTGATACGTGGACGTCCCTCTTTCTTGGAGTGGTACGAGTTTTTCCTCATTATTCGTACCTTGCTGGCGACAAGGGAGTGATCCGTGTCACAGTCGGCACTGTGATAGCTGCGAGTGAGTAGGATGCTAGCTAGTTGTGCACGCCTGGTGATGATGAGGGATCGAGGGTGTTTCCATGATACTTGATATATATCCTTGCACTTGAAGTAAGTGTTGGTCACACACAAGCCTCGTGAGCAGCACAATTCCAGAAGCCTCTGTCCATTTTCATTAATCTTTCCTCTTTCCTGCTACATCAGCTTGCTTAAATCTAACTGATAATTAAATTAAGTAAATATTAGCTCAAAACCATGTAAGTCAGTGACTTCACAAATAGCAGTTGGAAATTCTGATGGTAAACAAGAAATTAATATTGGAAAATTGTTTCAAAGACAATCCTGTGAGTAAACAATATTAATATTAATGTTATGTTCTCTTACCCATTATTGCTCCTTGGTTATCTCTCTTCACTCCCATTGCTGCTTCTTCCTGGCACCAAATTTGACACAATAAATGTGATGCTGTACTGCCAGTCTTGCCACGCCAGGCTAGAACATGGTTGATGGTTTTGGGGTTTTCGCACAAGTCAAGGAGACAACCAAGGATAACATTGTGCATATTTTTTGGGCAAATCTGTAATGGAAGTCTTATTTGATTTATCAGTATTTGTTATTAGTTTTTTTTACAGTATTGAATTGAATTTTTAAATGTATTACTCATAATAAGATGCTCGAATTTTGTTCCACATTTTCTTTATTTAATGAATGATTCCTTTGTATGTACTGGTACATCATGAAAAGTTTCACATTTTTGCATCCAGACATATAAAATAAGAGAAAAAACAAAACTGTTGGGAAATGCAAAGCACATTGCTGCACCATATCTCTATGTTATATTTGTAGAAAAATTTGTAAGATTTATTTTAAATTGTGATACTAATAGAAATAGTAATAGAGTAATAACAAGCCAGGTTTGTGAAATGGGAATATCTTTTAAACTTACTACTCACAGGCTTTCCTTTAATGACTAATCTTCGTGAATCAAGAAAAAATACCAGCATTGTGTTACGGTACAATTAAATAAATTTCAAAGTTTTAATACTTCCTATAAACAATTGTATATTTTTAGAGAGTTTATGTTACCGGTACCATGACTTTGACATTTGTTTTCCATTCTTGTTTACATAAACTAAATGGCAAATCAAATGATATAATTAGCATCTTTGTACATTTTCACTTGTAAAATAATTTTTCATATTGCTTATACTATCTTTAGGTTCCAAGTCAGGGATATCTTCAATGATAAGAACATCAATATTGCATTTGCATATATTTTTCACCAGCCTATTTTTTGGTTCACTGCCTAGTTCACTTATAAACTTTTCAAGAGCAGACAAGCCATGCTAAACCTCTAACCCTCTTATCTTAGTAACGAAAGATGATCAACTCATTAGTTTCCTCCATAATATGAGCAAGATTCTTGTGTCAGTAGTTCTTGTAAATTTAAGCACTTAAAAGTCAGGTGTGTGGCTGTTTTGTCGACAAAGGGGTGTCCCCCCCCCCCCCCCCCCTTCCTTAATGAACAAGTATTAAATAACAAGAGTTGCACAGAGTAGGAAAATAGTGGAGCCCTTTGCAGTGCATTAGAAAGGTGTGGGTTTAAGTGCATGTGTAGGAATATATCTCCTGAAATAAATAATAATAATAATAATAAAGTTTATTTGAAAAACACGCTTCATCCCCAAAAGCTCGAAGCACGGTACAAAGTCAAACATATTAAAAAGAGAAATAAAAAATAATCTAAAATTTACCATTTTTAAAAAACAGACGCAACAATATAAAACTACATACGAGCATACCAAGTCAAAGTCTTTCATCCCATTTCAACCATAAGCAACACAAGCCAATATACATTAATTGAAAAAAGATGGTAGATAGCATCACCCCAGAAGGTGTTTGCGAAATAGATGTGTTTTTAAATCGGTTTAAAAGGACTCCAGTGTCTGGTTGTTTCTGAGAGTGACTGGAAGGGCGCTCCAAATTGCTTGGCCGACAAATGCAAAAGTGCGCTTTCCGTAAGTCTCAAGGTGAACACACGTATTGATATTTTGCCACTATCGGATGAGCGGAGCTGTCTAGTGGGTACATAAGGCGGCATGAGTGGTTTGAGATAGGACTGCGCCAGGTCATGTAAGCAGCAGGAGCACAAAGTTGCAATTTTGTACTCTATGCGAGCATGGACCTGCAGCCAGTGCAGCTCTCTCAGAAGTGTTTTAGCATAGTCGAATTTGAATTTGCGAAGAACAATGCGAGCCGCATTATTCTGTGCTCTTTGAATTTTATCCAGGAGCGTAGCTGGGAGACCCACCATGAGAGCATTGCAGTAGTCCATGCGTGATAACAAATGCAGACATAAGCCTCTTTGATGCGTCTAACGTTAAGAAAGGTCTGATGTGACTAATCCTGCGCAGCTCTAGGAAAATTGCCTTGCAAAGCATGTTAATATGATTTTCCATAGTAAGCGTTCTGTCTAAGTAGACACCCAGGTCTCGCACTGTTTGAGCAAACTCAATCTGTGTACCTGAGAGAGTAAATGATGTTGTGTTTTTTACAGATTTTTGTTTCTTAGCGGTGGCAATGCGGATCAGCTCAGTCTTTTCATCATTCAATTTGAGCTTGTTTATGGTCATCCAGTGCTTAACTGACTCAACTGTCTTCTGTGTCGTACTAAGAAGTTGAGGGAACTGAGAGGGGATCACGGATTGATGAAGTTGTGTATCATCCGTGAACATGTGATACAGCATGTCAAATTGCTTGATCACTGCACCCAGTGGCTGAACGTTCATAGTGAAAAGCACAGGGCCTAGGACCGAGCCCTGGGGTACTCCGAATTCAATTATAGATTGCTTTGAGGTCAAGCCGTTTGAAATAACTGACTGGACCCGATTTGTCATATACCAGTGATACCATCTCAGTTGCAGACGCTGGAGCAGTATGCCGTGGTCTAGCGCATTGAAAGCTGCTGATAAATTGAGTAAAGACAAAATGGATACATGGCCCTCATCACAAGACGACAGAAGGTCATTTATGCCGTGCAACAGGGCTGTCTCAGTAGAGTGATGCACCCTGTATGCTGACTGGAAAGGTTCAAACAAGTCACATTGAATGAGGTGATCCAGGAGTTGGCGGAGAACGACTTTTTCTAAGATTTAATGGTATTTAATGGATAAAATGGTAGGTTTGAGACGGAGCGATAATTTACCATCACATTTGATCAAGGTTTGCTTTCTTTAACAGTGACGTTACCATTGCCTCTTTAAAAGATGATGGAACAATACCAGTTGTCAAGGACTGATTTATGATACAAGTGATGATGGGGACTATTTCATCAAGACATTCATACAACAGCCCTGCTGGAAGAGAGTCGAGTGAGCATGACTTTCTTGGGGTATTAGCCGGGATTTTCCTCACATTTGATTCACTGACCTCAAAAAATTCACCCATAGGAGAGCCGTTGAAGAGTGAGAATTCTGGAGCAGTATCGATGCAACTTTCAAGTTTCGCCCTGTTCTCTTAGCTTTTGTAATAAAGTAGTCATTTAGAGCGTCTGGCAGCTCTTGTACAGCAATGTTATTTGGGGTTAATTATGAGCTCTTCATGGCCCCTTTCTCTTTGTTTAAAACTTGTTCCCAAACTAAACTAAAAACAGAAAGTTTATATAAAAACCTACCTCCAGCAAATCTAACAGCAGAAATACTCCTTCTTTCTCTAAAAAATAATCCTCTGTAATATAACATCCAACTATGGAGCACCTAACAGATACAATATATTAACATTAACATAGATATAAAAGTGTAGATGATGTATTTCAGTAAAAAAGAAAATGTAATAATTAAAAATAAATTTAAAATATAGATAATTTATTTAAGTAGTTTTGCTATACCGGTACATTAAATGGTATTAATATCACTACATAGTTTGAAGATATCAGTTATACACACCATGTGCAATCAATAGATGTCAGAAGTAGCTTATGATGACCTAATCCACTGTTAAGAAGTTTAATATCAGTGTGGAGATATCTAATAACCATATCCACACCTGGAACACCAAACAGTTCCTGAAATATGTTACATCATTGTGTATAATTCCTTTTCTAATTAACACAAAATGCAGTATTGACACTATCCATAATAAATCTTGGAAGAAGGTTAAGAATAAAAATAGCTCAATGGCTGGCTTGTAATTAATATTCATCAATAATACCTTTCGGTGCATGTCATTTTCACACAGACAAGAGAGAATAAAGAGGATGTCAGATTGCATTTCAATGTCCACAGCATCATATTCTTCTGTTCTTTGAGTGAAGGCAGTATTCAAAACCCCTATCAAAGCCAAAATAACTTTATTTTTACATTAAATAAAGTAACTGTTATTCATTTGAAATTTTCTTATTAATATTTTCATATTGGATGATGTAAAGCAGTGGTCCCCAAATGGCGGTCCATGGACCTTCACCGGTCCGCATGCCTAACGCTACCGGTCCCCATAACATAAATATTTATTGTTAAATAGAAATATTACGGGATAAAAATAAATCATGCACCGGTCCCTAGTAAAATTTTGAAACTTGTTCACCGGTCCGCCAAACTTAAAAGTTTGGGAACCACTGATGTAAAGGACACAGCAGCAATAAAAAAAGCATGTAATTTGTAATGGATCTAAATCTAAATAGCACATTAAATTCTAATTAGTTATTTTCAAGAAGCAGCAAACAACAAATTTCTTGAAATTTAAATTAGATAGGAAAATTTACTTAGTGAAGCTTGATCAAATTTTAAGCTGAAGATACCACTGTAGATCAATATACCACATTTAACAATGCATTCAAACAACATGATAACATCATAGGTCATTAGCATATTTTAAAACATAACTACTACCAGAAAATATATTGGATGATTGCGTCAGGATTCCAACATGTTTTAACATTAAAAATTAAAGCAAGTAATGCAGCTGTTTTAAATTGCTGCTAATAAAATTTTAATACAACATAAGAATAAAACACTGATAATACCAAGAATACTCACATCTGGTGCAACAAGCTTAAGGAAATAGCAAATAAATCTTATACTTAATAATCTAACTGAACTTTCTTTCAACACATTCACAGGATATTTTTTGTGACCTTAAAAAAGACTCTAAGCATCCAGCTGATACTCTTTGCTTGAAATTGAATGAAATTGCTAATAAGGTGAGTCACTTTTAAACATTAACAAAATTATCTATAATTTTACCTACTTAAAAAAGAGAAAATTAATTTAGAAAACTAACCAATGAGCTGGTTAATAGCTCCCTGATCTGTCAAGTCCTGCAAGATAACTTCATCATCAGTTGAAACAACACTCCGCAACAGTCGGAGACAATGTCGCATCTGAGCCTTTTTGGTGCCTCTGCCTCCGGTCCCATGGAAACTATTTCCTTGACCACCAAACTCATCTGCAGATTTAAAAAAAAAAAATTAAATATTGTGTTACCTTGATTGTTATGGATAGCCTTTTGGATCCTAAAAATCTGTATGTTATTTTTCCTTTTCACTTAACTTGGTGTAGGGAAATAACTAGATTGTGGTGCAAAAAGCTATATTTTTTGCAGTTAGAAAAAATGTTAAAAAAATAAAGCTAGAAATCAGAAACATTTCAATAATTTTTTTCCATTTCATATTTTGCAGCATATTTTGGAAAGTTACTGAAGACAAGAGCTTTTGACATACCATTTATGGTTGATTTTGACAATACCATGAAGGTAGTTTATATGCTTTTTTTCATTTGTGTAGAAAAACCATCTAAAGTGTCTGCACATTTTTCAGTTTACTATCTAGATACTTTTAGTTAAAATACTGGTGCTATAGTGCAAAAAACTGATTGATATCAGGACTGGCTTGACATTGGCCGTAAGTAATACACATAGTGACATTCACAATCAAGACAACTTTTTATGCAGTCTTATTTGTATTGATAATCATTAGTTCATTCATATCAAAATGGTGCTAAAACTAATGAGTTATCAAGTACATCCTCGAGTTACACTTAGACAAATGAAAGGTAAAAAAAAAAATAAATGTGTACTGCAGCTCAAAGTCAAAGCGCTTGATGAGAAAAATTCAAAATACGGTACATCAATATACTTACTCAACAAGAACTTTTTATGGATATGAAAAAAAAATCACTTCCATTATTAACTCTACACTTTTTGAGGTACATATTTATCTTGACATAATCCATTCACTTTAAACAGATAATTTTTAGGTTGTTTTTTGAGTGATTGAAACCAGATAAAAAAAATCAAGAATTTAAGTGTTTCTGTCAACAGTACCTGGGATCAGAATTGCTCATAATATATAAATTATAAAGTATGCAAAGCGGCAGACATTTTAATGAAGTAGTAGAGTAAGATAAATGTTTATTAAATTTAGTTACTGGTACAACATATCAGGCTTTTGCATATAATCTCTTTACGATGCACCTACCTGGTCCAACACACCATTCTAGTAGAAGAAGGAGGCGTGTGGATCCTTGGCAAGTCATGTAATCTTCTAACAACAAAGGGCAAAGTGTGCTCAAGGATGCCATGGCATGAAGCTGCAACTCTTCAAACTGAGCAAGGCTCAGTTCTCCAGGGGAAATCTTCCTTTCATTGGCTCTAACATATGAGAACAGTGCCAGTAAAAGGTGGCCTTCAGAGAGGATCTGAAATGGATAAAGTTGTTCATTTGAATGTATATTTATGAAACGTCCTTGGCTTGAGACATCTTATAAATTTAACATAGTATAACTTTGATGATGCTGGTAAGAAATATCCAGTTGGATGGACACAACTGTATAACTGACACAACATTGTGGGTTGGAAATGTAAAAGCCAAGCTAAATCTGCAGCCACCCACTTAGTGGGGGGGGGGGGTTAAGAGGAGGGGTCTCTATTGCTATCTCTTGTACTAACGGTTATAAAGAACAGCGACAGGGCCAGGGATGGCACTCTTCTTGAGCTTCAGCAAAAGAGTCGCAACTACATATATATGTTTTAAAATGCATCTTATAATATAATGTTGATAGAATTTACTGATTTACTGGATTTTTTAACATCAAAGTGACAGAAAACCGATTCAAATTTGAAAAAAAAAACAATAAAAAAAAATCTAAGTTATCCATTTCCAGCTAGGTGAATTCAAAACTCAGAAATGATCAGTATTGCACTACTAAGCTATACCAAAAATCAGAAAGTTACTCATCTGGAGGTGACTAAAAATCAAATGCACGATTTGACACTCAGTTAGTTCAGTTGAATAAAAAGATATAAAATATTTTCATTTTACAAATACCGGTAGCAATTATTTTTTTCTTATTTTTGTTAAGATATAAAAAGAAAAAAAAAAGTAAGACAATAATTTGTTCTTATAGTAAGATTTTTTTCCAAGATGCCTAATCGCTTATTTTCCAAATTTTGAAAGTTATCTGACCATTGATTAGTTGATACTATTTGCACTATAGACTATTATTAGTATTATAGATCAATAATCTAATATGCTATCGAAATATGATTAAACTCACAGTAGTAACAGTTCTATCATTACTAAGAACTACTAAAATGTTGATCAAGAGTTTACGAAGTTCAAAGTCCTCATGGTTTGTCGTAAGTTTCAGATGTTTTACCAGAGCATTGTGTGACTTTACTAAAAATAGAAATGCAAGTAATGATTTAGTAGTAATATTTTATTGATATTGTTAGCACTTATTTATAACAGCAAAAAAACCACACAAAAAACTGTACACTGTTACTGTAGCCGATACTCTATATTATTGATTGTATTGATTGGATCTTTATGTTTCGATATTTGCATATTATTTACAATAGAAAATCTGGTACTGGTAAAAGGAATATGGTTTATTAGGCTATTAATTATGCATTATAAGACTTAATATTAAAAATAGATACATGTATTACAAAAATGTTGACTATTTTAAAAAAATGTTGTCTATTTTCAATCAGGTAGTTTGATAATCATTGCAATAATCAAAGTATTCTTAGACTAATTTAGAATTTAAACTGAAAATGGATGTAGTGATATTAAGATGTTATTCTCACCTTCTTGAAATGTAGCAAAAAGGGTGAGCTCTTTGGCATAACCTGTTTCCACGAAAGGTGCTTTAGGACACTGGTAAGCTACAAGAGTAGAAATAACTAGCAAATCATTTCTCAACTGGCGATCAAAATGACTGTAGCCTTGGGTCAGCTGGTATACAAATGCATCTCTCAGCTGGCTATATAAATATAATAGTAATAAAGATAAAATTCTTAATTTAAAAATTGTGATCATAAAAAGAATTTTGCATAATTTCATTATTACTAGTATAAGCCAAATAAAAACTGCTAAAATACTTTATTCTGGTTATAAAAAAACTGAATAGGAAAAAGTAAGCTTTGATGATTTTGATTAAGGAGTAATCAGGAATAAACCTAATTTTATCAGTTTTTTTATACACACTTAGGACTGCTGAGCTATTTGGTTAATTTTGCACTTATTATTGAAGACCCTACGGACGTTATGGTGCAAATTGAAATGGTTGATCTCAGGTAATGTGTATTATTTTTTGCATTTTGATGGGGAGGTGCATCAAACTCAAAGCTGCCCAGGGCAGAGGTGTTAAGGGAGATGGATGGATTATTTTAAAAAAAAATTAATTATAATACTGGTATTTAAAATATATGCTACTAGACAAGGGCAAGTTGACTAAATATGGACCGGCTTAGCTCTGATTACAACAGCATGTCCCATCTAAAAAATCACTTGTGCAACACAAGGTAATTATAAGGTCATATTTGTTGAAAGATAATTTTTAAATATTATTTTTTCTTTTTATAGATATTTCCTTGTACATTTTTAAAAACCATTAATTAGCAATGTGTTTACTTTTCTTGATAGGGCTATACACAGGAGCCCATAAAAATTTTGAAAACACATAGGCTCATTCAATAAAATTTGTTAACATTTTGTTTACTTCATTTCATGTAATTATATGAAATTTATCTTCAATTCTCAATTTTACTTCATATACAACTCACTCATAGAGAGATAATTGATTCACATAAACAGTCTTATACATATTTTATTCTTCTTGGCATTTGTTAAATATTTTTTAAGCATCAATGTGTAATTATTTTAGGAGTGTTGAGCAAAAATGGACTTGTTTTTTGTTATTTAATAAAGCATAAAGTGACAAAAAGTGTACACAACATATTTCAAATGTATTGAAAAGTATCTCCTAAATTTCATTAGTTGAAAATTCTGTGTATACCTGATGCATGCCAGATTGTTCAGTTGATTAGCCAGGACAGCTTTATCCCCATTTTCCATTAAATTCCAAAGAATATCCACTGAGCGAAACAGCAGTTGGCCACTAGGATCTGTATCCATCAGTCGAGAACAGATACGCCGAGCTCCCTCCACATGCAGCATTTGATCACAATTTTTGGCTGATAATAAATAATTCATTGAAAAAAGTATAACTCTGGCAAAATTTAATCATACAAGTACACCATATTTTATAGCTAATGTTCCAAAGACCTTTCTTGGTTTTAGAATTGATTATTTGTTTAGATATTTGATATCAAGATAATTTTATTTTTCTTACCAGAATTTTTTGAAAAATGCTGAAGTATTTCAAGTACTTTCAGTTTTACTGATAGGTCGTTTTCCAAAAGAGACAGAGACTGTTGAGAAATTATGGATTATATACTTGATATCCCTGAAAATATTAACTGAATACAAACAAGTGAAATCTATGGAGTTGATATTATTGGTCACTATGCCATAGAATAATTTTAAAATTTTTTTTAGAATTTTATTTGCTGAGTTGAATCAGTCATCATATTACCAATTTTATTTTGTACACTGATTTTAGGACTCTGAAAATTAAAGTTCCTTATTATGCCTTATAAAAAAAAAGTGTTATAAAACTGTTTCTTGTATTTTTGGTTTATATGCTAACTAATAGTAATATTAAAAAAAAATAATCTCACTTTCACTAAAGTTTCTGAAATGTCACTGATCTCAACCATCCTGTTGTTAAATTTTAAACTGGCAGGTTTTAAATCTGCAGAAAAACAAATGAAAATTCATAATTAAATACTGATGCAATATTTCTAAGTTAATAAAACTAAAAAAGCTGATTTAAATTTTTATTTATTTATTTTTTTTTTATTATACATAAAATATTTATTGTACATTAATTACAGCATTAGATTACTGATTTTACACAATGGAATATTAGCTCTTGCTAATAATTTTCAAATTAAAGTACTAAAAATTTTAACCAAGTCTTTACCTAATATACCTGGTAATCAATATTAAACATACTTTGCAAATCTTGCACTGGTTTAACTGTGGTAAAACTAAGTAAAGTGCTGCATATTTGATTTCTCACATTGGAACTTGGGATCCGCATCAAATAGCCTAGCAATAAAGCAAAAAGAAAACAAATAGAGAATATATATAAATATTGTATCTAGTGATTTAAGAGATGAAGACTAAGTAGAGATTAATTTCAGCAAATAATAAACAGCTAAAAATAAAAAGGAACCCAAATAATTTCATAACAATATCAGAGTATAGAAAATAAAATAACTCACCTAATTGAGAAATTGATTCTACGACTATTTGTTCATAAACTATCTCATCTGATGATTTTTCCATTAAAAATGGAAGGCTACAGGTTTTCAGAATGTCCAAAATAGGTTGTTCATAAACTGGATTAGTATCCACTCTTTCAGCACAAATGTTTAAAATTTTAAACAGCAGGACCAGATCTTTCATTGGCTGATTTCAATCAAGGAATCTGATTTACATTAATAGTGGCATATTCTACATTAATAGTGGCATATTCTGTCGGGTGGGGGTTATGCCTTTGGTATAGAATGAATACATAGAAATTTACTAGTAGGTTCCCCCTTACTGCATTTGGTGGAAAATCTACCTGCTCAATTTTCACAAAGGACATTCAGCTGGTTAAAAAAAATGGGAGCAAGGAAATACAGTAACAACTTTGGAAAAAATACATTGTTCCTCCATTCTTCGTTTAGAGAAGAATGATGAAACTTCTACTATGTACATGTAAAGACAATTTGACACTGACAAGGCACCATAGATTTGAGAATTAATATCTGTCTAATTAAAGAAAATGGCTTACTGAGTCTTCTGACTTCATCTGCCCTACAGAGCCTACCTTGAACAGTTTGCCTCACACGCTCATTCTGTAGTAGGTTCTTATTTTAAGCCAAGTTACGGGGCAAGACAGGAAAAGTGAGTGACATGCACAAAATGCTCATAAGAGGTTTTTGATACAACACATCACATGGCCAACACCTGTTATGCTCTCTTGGCTTGGCAACACCTTTGCCATCCTAACATTTTTATAGGATACCGGTATTTTCGTTAACTGACACCCCATCTCAACATTGAGATTAGTCTATTGCCTTTTACTTTTAGGGAATAATTAGTGATTGTCACTCACATGAGTGTGCTTGAAGGAAGGAAAAAAGTTAAGTCTAGGAATAGTCCTTTTAAAGATTATTTATTTTGAATAACAAGCAAGAAAAACAACCAGCTTGCACTGCATATCTATCATGTGTAATCATGCTTCCTACAGTATTTCTAATTGACAATTCAATGCTGTTTTCTCCTTTTCCTAACTAATTGCCACTAAATAAATGAATAAAATAAATATATCTAAAAGTAAAATAAAAGGATACAAATCCTTTAGCATAATGTCGAGCCATTTTTGCTAAAGCATGAACATGTCTTTCATAAAGCTTTTCCTGTTAAAACATGATAAAATTTCTATTTCATTATTATATAAAGAGAAATTTTCTTTAAAAATTATTTAAAAACCTAAATAATAGTTATCATATATACAATTTACATATTATGTCTACCGGTACCTAAATTTAATATTTCTGATTAGAAAGACCACATTGTTGTGATAAAAAGTTTTTTTATTAGTCTTTTCACTTTTTCCTAACTTAGGCACTTTATAAATCTAACAGAAAGATGCACTCTATACGCCTACATACTAAAGAAATAGGCTGCGACTATTCGCACCCGGGTACCAGAAGTGAGAGTTTGGGATTAAAAAACTATTTAAAATATTATTATTGGGTTTGTAAGACAAAATGAGGCATCAAATGAAAGATAATTGAATGGAATATATGGTTGTAAACTTACTTCTTCAGTTTAAATAAAATAAACTACCACAAATGACATCCGAATGGGATTTAGTCTAAAAGGACCCGGGTACGCATAGCCACTAGCTTAGGATTGACTCAGTTAAGACTGCTCGGCTTAAGCTACCATATTTATTAATATTTTTATATTATATACACAGAAAATTGTATTTATAGAAATAAGATATTGGTGATAACATATCAATAAAAAATTATGAATTTCACATATATAACTTACAGAATGAAGATCAGTGAGAAGCTTTATTACTCTCTTTAAATTGATCGGTTGGAGCTTGGAGCCCTTATGTAGGATAAAAATAAAAGGAAGCTATTTATATATTTGAAATATATTTTCTCTGTTCAGTAATGGTACAATAATCTCAAACTACTCACGGGCAAAGCAGAGTCTTGTATTTTTTTAAGCCAACATTCCCATGATGCATGCCCATACACTATATAGTAATTTTAGAAGAGACTGATAAAATTACAATGTTGATTATTTATAAGATGTGAAAGTTTTACAGGCTTTTCAATTACGTAAAAATGAATAATGCAATTAATTATAAAATGTTTGAAGTTGATACCTCCAGAACGCCTAAGTCATCATCTGTAATGATGTGTGTAACAAGTGGAATACATGGTCTTTCATGTTGTAAGCCACTTTTCAATTTTTGACTTTGGTGATGAGTTTGGACTAAGGCCATTTTTAAGCCTCTTAATTATATAATTAAATTGTATATTTTACTTCTTTAAACAAATGACAAAATTAATCATGTCAAGAAAAAAATTCATTTTAACAAAGCACTTCCATTTTGTAAACATTATCACCAAGGAAGCGCCGATGCTTCTTGGGTAAAAACTAACTCATTTGTTTTTGTTTTAATGAAAGTAGTCCAAAATATTATTATCCTAAATATTTTTAATTATTAAAGACAACTTCAAAACGGAAGAGTGCCTCGCGGAATTTATGAAAATGTCAACACTTTCATCTACATAGAAGTAGAAGGCGTTTACTTTTAGATATAATAACGTGTTTGGCCTGAATATTTATATAATTATACCTTATTGTCAAGAACTCATCAAGAGCCATGTTAACGATACAGACACTGACTGACTGAGACAGTGGGAAAGAAAAAGGCAAAATCATGCCCATGCCATAAATTTTAATTCACAAAATCACAAATCAAATGACCTAGTCCAAAGTCACGAAGTTCAGAAAAACGAGAAGAAACCATGTCAGTCTCAGTGTAGTCTCAGTCTCTGCTGAGTCTGACTGAAACTACTAAAAAATTGTTGAAGTTTATGGTCAAAGTAAAGTGATAGTCATAGTGTGCTGTGGCTGTGGTTGAAATAGACATTAGACATGAACACAGTTTTAAGTGCTCGAGATGCGGCATATCTTTCCCATAAAAGGTTGAGTAAAGTGGAGTGTTAGAACTAGAATTAGCTGGTCATTGATAAGTAGAGATAAGTAAAAAAAATAGTGCAGACCCACCATTATTGCCATTCATTATACATGCTCATGATACCAAAATGGCTAGTAATTTCAAATAATTTCAATTTCTTAAAGTTAAAGTTTCAGTTAAAACCTAGGCCTGCCTAGACATACTCATACTCATGCCATTCATGGAGACTCGTCTCAATAATTTTCAATATTCATATCAAATATTATTTCCACAAATAAATGCAGACTTACATTTAAATCACTAATTATTTATTAATTTTATATTATTACATTTTACCATTTAGACATAATGTAATTTAAAATATTTTATGCACAAGGGCCAGGCATAAATGTCAATGATAAGCCATCCATCTTCTATGAAAATGAAATTAAATAAATACGTTATTCTACTCTTGTTTGATTGATTTGGAACAGAACTATAGTCTATATGCATTATTATTATGGTATGCTGTTGAGTTTTGATGTTTGCATAAACTAGCGTTTGACTAATTAACTACTTCTGTTTTCAGAGCCTTTCTTCCCAGAAAGCTTTTCATGACCATTCAAGGTCCTATATCATCAATTAGCCACATTTTACAGTAATGAATTTTTCTTTTACACTTAACTATTTTGTATTGATATTATATTATTTTTTGGCTAATATTCATTAATTTAACTTTTTTTATAATGAATTATCAATTGGATTTTGCTTAATTTATGTACCTTTTTTATCTGCACAAACACTGTTTACTTTCAATATTTCATTATTGGTAGTTATTTAACTATATTAGTCTAGGTCACTGGATAGGCTAAGACAGTTTTTCTTCACAAGGGGAAGGATTAACAATAACAGCTGTGCAACTCGATATCTAATTTTGTGTAAATATGTAAATGAAGGCAAAGAGGTCAAAATATGAGAAAGATCCCTTTCTATAATATTTATGAAAATCCTATATCAGTTACTACTGTTTAAATACTTCCAGTTGCTTAACCACATGGATTGCATTTGCTAGATTCAATGAAGATGAATTTGCAGTTGTAGTGAATGAAAGAAATCATTTAAAAACCAAATCTTTCTCCCTCACTTTGGATTAAAAATTAACTCTACTCAAATAAAATATTGTCAGTCTCATATTTTTCTAAGTTCCTAGCCCATCTGAGCTAGGAGTTAAGGGTAGATGCAAAATCTTTATTTGGTAATGCTTTTCGGCCAGTTGGATTTGCTACATGTTTGAAATCTTAAACCTATCAAAATAATTAGCGTACCTTAAATAGCAGAGTTATCACATGATCCAATTTTCATTCAGCATTCAAATATATAATGTACACACTTAAAATTAATATGTGTAATAATCTACCTTAGAAGGTTGTGCAAGCAAATTTTGATTCTAAAAATCCTCTCATTGGGAAGACAGAGAGGTGCTGAGGGTGATTTTATGGTCCAGAGGCGTCAGTAGATGGAAAAAGTTTCAGAACCACTGGGCTAGATGATAAATTATTAATGGGTTTGACTTTCACTAATTTATTACAGACAAATTAGATACAGCTAGCTAGCTTAATGACTTACTTTCAGTCAGAGAGAACAAATTTCTAGTGATATTCAAGTTGAATATTGTTCTGTTTTCAAATAGTGATTATACCATATCAGACCTGTTTACTCTTACGATTTTGGCGTACAATGTACGATTTTGAGGTGTATACATTATATATACTGTATGTTTATTTTTTACTAGTAAGATAATGTATTGAAAGATTTTGTGAGGATATTGTACGATTTTAAGAGTTTGAGAGTAAACAGGTCTGCCATATCAGTTGCTGTAAGTCTTGAAAAGAAAGTTTGAAATGTAATTAATTTTTTATTTTCTTCATACAAAGATGATTTAAGCCTGAATGTATTTTTCAGTAGGAAAACTGAGCTGTTTCTCATACTTGAACTTGATAGCTCCATATTTGTTTTAATCAAGGTAATTTTCTCATAAGAACGTATGGAAAACATTTGTTAAGAAAATAATTTCATTTTAAAACCATTATTTATTACTAGTTGAAACAACTAAAATGATTAGTTTTAGTTATTATTTAACATTATTTCCTATACTTATAAGAATAAAAAAAGATTAAACTGTTTATTTCAGGACTTTCATCTGGAATGGAAAGATAAATTGGAAATAAACTGCAGATATGTGTTTAGGAATCTAAGACTGACTTTGTTAGAAAAAGTAATTGATTTTCTTTTAAAATGATATGATCCTTTATTAATTACAATGAGTTTTTAATATTAATCTATAAAATTATTTTAAAAGATGTTATGTGAGCATTATTTTTTTTCACACCTATTTGAAGAAAGTTGTACCATTTTTATGATAGATTAATTTTTCAAAACTGAGTTTAGTAAATTAAAAAAAAACAACTAAAGAAACATCCAAGGTGATTAAAAAGACTTAAAATTTGTAACTACACATTGGTAAAAATAAGTCACATAGTTTTGAGCATTTTCTGAACATGTCTGATCATTTAAATTCAAATCTGTATTTTTCTTTTATTAGGGAATTTATCGCCCCCATCCAATTTTCATGGTCTGGGCAAGCAGCTCTTTTATAAAATTAACAGATGATGAGATTCCTACAGTTTCAATTCCGGTAAGGAATCAGCTTTTAGCGTAATTTGAATAAATTCATGCTAGGGCTAGTTTATGTTTTCAGGTTTAAAGTTAAATATTAACGAATCGCACAAAAAAGGATCTAAATGTCAAATCCTAATTAAGCAGAGCTTTTAGTACAAATACCTCTGTCAGTTGTTTCAGAATTACGTTGGAAGAAGATTTTACAACTTGCCACTGACAGTATGTTACTTCTAACTTGTGCATCAACCTATTACCTGTAAAGCTATTGCACACATCAAATTTAGCGAGTTCTATATGTATATTGTCATAAAATATTGCAATAGAGTCAAATTAGAGTCTATAAATAATCTTACCATGTTTATTGTGCTGTATTCAGTAATGCATTCTCTAATAATTAGTATGCAAAATTAATCTGTAGATTTTGCTTTAATTCTTAGCATAAAAATCTTAATAACTTGCACACATAGAATTTTTTGCTCATTACCTGAGAAAAATATGTGGAACTGTGATAAGTTTTTTAAGAATATTTTGTCAAGATGACAGAATTTTATAATACAGTTTTAAATACGAATGTTAAATAATAACCGGAATTCTAGTTATTGGTTTTGAAATCTATAACACATTAAGTTTTACAAAATGGTATTCAGTTAAAAACGTAAGTGATCGCCATTATTATTGCTGGAAGTTTGATTTTGTGGCGGTCACGTAAGTTTTTAATTCTATTTCTTGTCATATTTTCATTTTTCCTGTCTGCTGAGGAAGGCTCTTAGCCTAACTGCTGTTATCTTATTTTCCAGTCTTTTGATTCAGGCTTCCACATACATTGTTCTACTATTTCCTTCACACAGCTTGAATGCATCCTTCATTTATTATCCTTCAAATTTAACATTAAATTTTTAAAATTAAATTTTATAAATTTGTGTATCACAGACTTGGTTGGAGAAAAATTGTATCAAAGATTTTGTTGCCATTGACTATCCATTGACCAAAGTGGCGTATAGCAATCCACATGATCAGCTACATAGCTATGAAGTGAGTTTTTAAAACAAATACATTTGTCTTAAAACTCAAATGTTTTTTAAACTTTTGTGAATTTTCAATGTGAGTGTTGTCAACTCCTACACGTCTTCTTGGATTGATTACATTCGTCAGTTCTTTCATACGTTGAAGCGTCGTATTATTCTCACTATCATTGAACTAACTCAACTCCTTTTCATAATAACTATAACTTTAATATCTAAGTAAATATAATAAACATCCTATCACTCCAAGGTTCCACTCAAGACTGCCGCACGACTAAAACATACGTCACAATACTGCATAGACAATACGTCACGACACAGCATAAAAATACGTCATAGAGACAATGGCGGGAAGAGCGTTCACTAACTATAATAGTCAAGCGCGGGAAAAGCGTTCAACAACTAATGAACATAATATTGAGTCGCAACAATTACTAATGAACGCTCATACTCGACAAGTGTTATTTTTGAAAGCAATTTTAGCATGATTCATTCATTATATTTCTTAAAATATCTCTCAGGGAACTGTGACATCAATTGATGAAGAATTGAAAGGCTTTTATATGCTGGATGGTAAAATAGGGTGAGCATTTTCTGCTAATTAAAGTATGAAAAAATGAGAAAGTGTAAAACATGTTTTGTTTATGTCTCGATTTTTATTTACTATTTTAGAAACTTAAACTTAATGATCAGGATTAAAAGCAGATGTTTTTCATCTTTAGAGATAGAAAGACATAAAAT